GTCGATGTCAAAATTGGCCAATCACACAGATTGTTTACGTTTGCAAAATTATTTGTCAAAATGAAATTTTATAGATTGCTTTACGTTTCGCAAATTTCAAAAGGAAATAATATACGGATGTCGGCTGAAGCCAATTGAAGTCTGTGGGAATAGCGCTATATAGAGGGCAGTCTCCATCGACGTCACACGAAATCTCGTAGATACGTACAAATTAGTTTCGACAGGCTGCGATCAACCGTAATGTAAATGTCAAGCGATAAAGGGACGAGAAAGGTGTCTTAATCTACTTTGTCTATGTATCCATCCAGTCAAAACCATGCACATAGATTTCTACCTGAACAAACGAGTTTCGAGCAATAAAGGGAAGAGAAAAATATATGTCTGAAGCCGTCACTCCAGAGAGAGCATGCAAGTCCTGTTCGTAAGCATTCGATCACAGTAAATTCTCTCCTAGGCCTGGCACAAAATTATTAACTACGAAATCATCAAGAATGCGCTGGCGAAAGAGACGCCGCTATATAACAGACAGCAAGCCAACGAAGACACCATAACCACTATCTCTAGAGCTTGATGTATAGACTTTAATATAAATTATATAGGTCACCGTGTGCTTAGTTAGTTACCCGTTGAAGGCTATAAGTCTGATAGCCGAAAGCTCGTCAAATAAAATATTTGGTCATGCAGAGAACATTCAATGTAAATCGTGCCCTTAAAAGCTCTTTTGAATGCAAAGCTCACGAAAAACCTCTCAAATGCATCCGCCGTGTTTAGGCGGATCCACTAGACGATTTTTGAGGCGATTTTTATGACGATCGTCATAAAAATTCGCGACGATTTAGAGAGGAGTGGAAATGTACTAGCAGCAAGAAAAAAAGCGCGGAATTTTAACTTATTGGTTAAAAATTTGGCGATCGTCTGGCGCTCGACGAAAAGTAGAAGTCAATCCCACTTTTCGTCGAGCACTATATAGACGATCGCTCTTCGACAATTGCGCACGTGTCGTCGTGAACTGTTTTGACGATCGTCTTAAAAACCGTCTGGTGGAGATCCGCCTTTTGATCACAATCAAGCATATTTTCCATTTTGTACCAATTAGATTTCTAGTTCTCTGGGAGAACAAGTAAAAACAGCAAAGCATAGGGTTTCATGCAGGCTCTCCTTTCCCAGCCCTGAGAGCCGCTACGTAAGCTAGAAAAAGGAAGACAAAACGACCTTTCGAACACTCGCCCTTTCACGTTCGGATTTAATTTTAAAATATCTTCGAAGATTCTCCCTTATAGGCTGTCTATTTTGTAATAAAAGCGTAAAGGAAATTAAACTCGTTTAACCTACTTCGAAGAGCCTCCCCTACGAAGCCATTGCCTCAATTGCTTAAAGCACGCCATTTCCAAAATCGTTTTCTCGAAAGAGGCACTTATTCAGAAACCGTTATCTCTTCGAAATTAAAGAACTAAAGTGAAATATATTATTATATACTCTGCCTCTGGATTAAATAACATTTTTGGGTAATGAGTGTTGTATTATCTTATTCGAAATATGCTAATTTTAGCTTATAGTAAACCTATAGTATATAAGGCACCATTTAATGAATAGGAGAAGTATTTGTTATTGTAAGTAATTCTAATTCTATGTGCAGAGAGCTGACAGAATAGACAGGAGTTTCCCTGATTAATTTATTGTGTGATGAGTCAATCCATTTAGATAACGCAAGTATTCAACATAAAACGTATAAGCTGTACCTGGCGTTCCTTTGTCTAAACCACGTCTTGGATATCTGCTGGTTATGGTTCTTAAGTCACTTTGATTTTGAGAAGGTTCGTCGCTCAGCGGCTCTCGGATCAAAGGATTGTCCATTTGTTCCTTTTCGAAAATTCGTCTTAACAAGGAATAACATACTTTTTAAATCTATTTGAAAATCCTTCTGAACTTTTTTTATATAAAACATACAAAGCATATACATCGATAACAAACTACATTACTAAACTGTTGAGAACAATTCAAACTCCCTGACCGTACGTGTGACATGAAACTGTCAATTCTAGCTCAGTCAGTGGCAGTCTAGCTATTTTCGGCCCGGACGCTTAATTTTGAAAATGGGTGTGATGGCTTCCATTATTTTAAATTCAAACTGTATATCATTATAAACTTTTTAAAATTATCCCAATAGTATATATATATATATATATATATATATATATATATATATATATATATATATATATATATATATATATATATATATATATATATATATATATATATATATATATATATATATATATACTATAATGTTGTGCACAGAATGCACCATGAGGTAGTTGCTGTCATGTACACCACGAATGCAGATGCATGCATGCGTATAACCGCACAAACTTTTGAGCCTTTAATATATACAGTAGTCCCAATTTACTGGGATTTCCATCGACAAAAATGTTTAACAATACGCCAGTTCGACTGGAAGATTGCCGAAGTTTAGAACATTAATTTTACTGTATTGAACAATTATTCATCTCAGTATCAATGAATAGTGCAAGGATGTTCACAGAAACGCAAAATGTCTTAGCATATATACAAATATGACCAAAAAGCAACGAAATTATTTAATAGCTTCCGTAATGGTTGTAAACAAAACGGTTTTACACGCTTTTGGTAATTTTATCATTTTCATTCATTAGAAATAGCTTTAATAATTGAAGAGTACCTTTACACACTGTTGGAAACAAAACTTTGCGACTTTCTTGGTGTTCGGCGGAACCGCATCTGCGTTTAGTAACGTCTATAACCGGAATGAGACGCAAACCTATTTTGTTTTTGTCCTGAGGTGAATAGTGCAAGAATATCCAGAGTTGAGCAAAGCACCATCCACCTCATGCTAAATGATATGAAATTATATAACAAATAAAGTAAGTCATGTCCTACCTTGTATTTCGCTTCCAGCCTCTCTTGTAGTTCTACCAAAACTGCCACTTAAACGTGGCTTAAATACCCTTTCGAAGCAAACAACCTTTTGGAAATTTTTGTAATACCGACCATTCTTTTTACAGTAAAAGGTACCGCTTTGTAAAGGATAAGTGGTCAACATTCGGATTGATAAATACCAAACAATAATTATAGATTACATTAATGCCTGCATGTGATTTTAATTTTAATTAAAGTTGTTTTTGTCCGACATTATTACAGGATAAATAAACAATTTTCAAATTCTGCAGTATTGTATAGTGTTATATAAACTTGGTTAAAGCTCTCAGTTTTTCTAACTTGCGCAAGTTCTGGTGAAAATGCTTTCGTGATCTTCAATGATATTTTCTGGAGATAAGATTTTACTTAAAGATTGAAATATATAATTACATGCTACATAGGTTGGCTAATTTATTCAAGCACAAAATTTTGTTTGTGTCTTTTGATAAGGTCGATGTGTCTAATTGTGGTGATAATTTCATTCGTTGAAGGGGTTTTGTATATCGGTGAAAATTTTGAGTGCAAATTTTATACCTAATTTTAAAATGCAACTATATACTGCACATATATATTGTACCTCTGGCACGACTGCAAACAACGCAACTCTACGCCCTCTGCATGCATGGCAGGTCTACAAATTTTACATGAAATGTCCTACAACAAGCTGTTGAACATTTAGTTCTGTACCGAATGTGGTGCCGCAAAATCTATACAATTTCACGCGTTTTACTGCATAATATTAAAGGAAACATTTCAGTATGTGGAACCTGTACGTATGTCTTATTCTTAAACTAGAATGAGGGGATTATCGCCCACAAAATTACACTAATTTTCTCAATTTAAAAACAATTGCAAGTTGCATTCTTGCACGCAAGGACTGCATAGGAACTTTTCGCATGTGTATTCGGCACCTTTGCGTACGCTCATATTCTGAAACTAGAATGAAGAAATTACATCGTCCACAAAATTTGCCTAATTTTCTGAATTGCAAAACGATTGGAACATACATGCATTCTTGGACGCAAGTGTACGTTGCACTCTGTACCAGAGCCCAATATGTTAGGTATGCCGATACTGCATGGGCATATAACAGGGCAAATTCGATACTAATTCTGGCTATATTTCAACTTACTTCAATCGTAAATAACATGCATTTCTTAAATTCTTTGTCAATTACAGTATATGCTATATGCACCTCGTAGCTCAATTGGTATAGAGCATTGGACTATAGCAAATCAAAAGTCGTGGGGTTCCATTCTCCCCGCACTCAAGCAAACGTTTCAGCTTATCCAGTGTGGACACACTCAGAGACAACATGACAAACATATGTTTTTATGCAGTTCATGGATAGATCATGCAGTTCAGAAAAATAACTTTTTTCATTGGTTTGTACAGCTTGGTAAAAATAACGATATTATCGACTGAATAATGACAGGACTGCATGTATAATTAATATCTGCAGTTGAAAAAGTGCGTCAACACTCACATTCAAGTATTATTGGAATGTTTTATGTTCAGTCAAATAAAATAAAAGTTTTACGATCATGCGCAGCATATTGATTCAGTTCCAAATTTTCCTCAGCTACAAAATGTTCTTGCTGAAACAATAAAATTTGAAAGCTAAATGTAAAAATGAAATGATTGAAACGAACCAAGAAAAATGGCAAACAGATGTTGAATATGATTAAAAAGAAAACTTGAATTTGAATATGATTTAAAATGTTTAGTGCAAGCATGTAACACAGGCCGTGTTTAAATGATTAGATGGATTTTGTTGATGGAAATTGTGAGTGTGAATTTTATACATCTATTAGACAAGATGTCCACCATCCTGATATTTACGCATACAACCTACATTGACATCATCTTAGTTTATCTACATAAACATGCTGTCAGAGCTTGACAACTGCATGGCTTCTGTATAGCCTGCGTATAGCAGGCGTTTAGTGCTGGCGGGAGAAGAGAGGGCCTCAACGACGCCCTCTCTTCTCCCGCCTGCACTTTAATGCAGGCTAGCCTCTGTATACCTCTACGCAGGCTAGCCTCTGCATAGCTCAGTTGGCTGGAACGCTGCACCAGAATCGCAGGGCCGCAGGTTCGATTCCTACCAGAGCGCCTATATAATATTATATAGTTGCGTTTTCCGCAAATTCTCCGGGTTAGGTCTAATGAATGTACAAAATTCACACTCGAAATTTCCATCTACAAAATCCATCTATATACGTGTTTAAATCAGCCTATATATATATATATATATATATATATATATATATATATATATATATATATATATATATATATATATATATATATATATATATATATATATATATATATATATAGGCTAAAGTAATTTAGATTATTTTACCATTTCTATCAGTTAACAAGTCGTTTTAGCATGCAATTAAAATTTGAAAGTTATATAACCAATTCAGTGCTTGCATGATTTTGTATTGCCTAGCACAACTTTGAAATATGAAGTTTCAAACAAACGTTCCTGTGCAGTTGAAGAAACACATCTACCAGCATATTGTTGAAGCATTGCAGAACAGTTAAGGTCGAAGAATCCATTGAAGTTGTTCTTGTGTTGAATATAGATATAGCTTCGCCGACCAGCAGCGGAACTTTTCTCATGTTTTTATTTGAAAACCTAAACAAAATCATTGTATTTTATTTTAATTGCAAACACTGAAACATGCATTCTTGCACGTTCACGTTTGACATTTTGCTTTCTTGTACGCAAATGTTATACCTGCATGCTCGTTCTAAAATGTTCACTTCCTTCTGTTGAAGTACAAGATCTGAAGAATTTTAATTATTGCATGGGGATAAAATAGACAGACTAAAGATAATATTGTCTTGGGAAGAATTTTAATAGCAAATTATTCATGGTTTGTGAATGTAGCCACGTATAGCTTAGTTGTATTGAAACACTATATAGCCTATGGAGGAAAAACTTTAGAATTATTTTCATAAAGAATTGAATTTTCGTAATTTTACGACTTTTTATTAATGATTTTGAATTGTTGTATAAGAACGAATTTTTGGCATGATTTATATATAGGGACTACAGTCACATATATTTACTTCATGCGCGTGCAGAAATAGCATGCATATATATCAGACTTTTATCAAACTTTAAAAAATTTAGCTAGTGCACAGCTTGGATGTGGAAGTTTTGTTACATTCTCAGTTGTTAAGCGACAGGTGGAACATATTTCGTCCTATAGGTCATATAATGCGCGGTTTGCCTACAAATCGTTTCGATTTAAGGGTATTTATCGAGATAAAATAACTCAGCTCATGCATGCAGAGTTGCTAAATACATGCAATTACAAATGTTTTTTAATAGTTTTGTTTGTGGAAACACCACGTAAATTTATTTCTGCAAAGCTTTCGATCCGTAAGCCCGGATCTTGATCAGTGCTAAAAATATAGCACTAATGAAGATCCGGGCTTACGGATCGAAAGCTTTGCAGTAATAAATTTACGTGGTGCTTCCACAAACAAAACTATTATATGTTTTATCGGCATTCAAACATACAAAGAACTTAAATGTTTTTTAATTGTCACATATACATATACAAAATGCAGTTCTTAATATAAAAACATCAACAAGACATGTCGAGACTTGCAGTTAGCAGTACACATGTAACACAAAGAACTAGTAAACAACGTAACCTTATATTGGCTCACTGCATCTGAGACCTTAATTTTAGCTCGATGGTTAGAGCGTCTGTCCAGTTATCAGCAGCGTGGTTCAATTCCCACCTTAGGGATCAGAACTTTTCGCAGTATGAACTGAGTATATTCTATTGAGAGCCATATGGATTGTGAGTGTCTGAATTTCGGACACCCTTATATTCTATTGGGAGTTATATATGAGTGTCTGAATTTCAGATACCCTTATATTCTATTGCGACCTATATGGGTGTCTGAAATTCAGATATGCACCCTTATATTCTGTTGCGAGATACATGGTGTCTGCATGAGTTTCAGACACCCTTATATTCCATTGGGAGCTATATACGGGTGTCTGAATTAAGCTTTTATTTTAGTATGTTTTAGTTTTTTTAATAACTTGATGGTCGAAGTTGCATAGTCTCTGATTTTTAAATTGATTTATATATATATATATATATATATATATATATATATATATATATATATATATATATATATATATATATATATATATATATATATATATATATATATATATATATATATATATATATATATATATATATATATATATATATATATATATATATATATATATATATATATATATATATATATATATATATATATGTATATATATATATATATAGTATGTAGTATATAGTATATAGTATATGATCTGCAATGAAATACATACAGTACAACAGATCAATAATCCGGCACATAGTTGAACTATACATATTTAATTGAGCTGTTAGTAACGGTAAATATCTCGAATCTTTGTTCAACATATACCTTTGTGTATGTTCTTTTGTAAGAAACTATCGTCTGTAAAATTACTGTAATTTACGTATACTTAGCTGGAAACATTGGAACTTGCATTCTTGCACGCATATGTTAGAGATATCGCATTCCTACACGCAAATATTGAACCCTAATTTTAAAACTTCTCGCCGGACGCGATTCGGACAACGCGACGCGATTTTTTAGTTTTTGAAAGTTAATAAAACAGCCAATGCATGAAAGCAAATTTTAAAAGATATGTAGACCAAATAACTCAAAATATTATAACGCTTCTAAATATTTAGAAAATTTAAACTATAGGATCAAAGTTATCGGTCACTGAAAATCGAAAAACGCGTCGCGTTGGCCAATCGCGTCCGGTGTGTCTGGATACGGTCATGATTTATTTTGTTAGTTTTCTTCATGGATAATATATTATATATAGGATAACAACCGAGTTGAAGGTCTTTCATTGAAAGACCCGACCGCAAGGTTGTTATGTCAGAGAGTTTAAGCTTCGCGTCATACGTCAAACGCCAGGCAAAGAAAAATTTTACGGTATCAGGCAATAAAGAGTAGCCTAAATGAACTTGCTGTTTTAAAACTGGGCGGCCGTGTTGTATCGGATATACAAACTCGAACCGAACGCAAGAGTTTGTATATCCGAAACATCACGGACGTGAATGCTGTAAATGGCTTGTCAGGAAACGTCTCGATGAGAACATTCGTATTCTTCAACAATCTAAAATAAATGAATTATATTCGGTAACTTAAAGTTTATGTATAAATCAGCATGATTTTGCATCAGATATACAAACTCCTTCACGGTCATGATTTATTTTGTGTTTTCTTCATGGATTATTATATATAGGATAACAACCGAGTGGGAGGTCTTTCACTGAAAGACCGACCACAAGGTTGCTATGTCAGAGAGTTTAAGCTTCGCGTCATACGTCAAACGCCAGGCAAAGAAAAAAATTATGGTATCAGGAAATAGAGAGTAAATGAACTTGCTGTTTTAAAACTGAAATACATAATCAGTATCCCTTCGACGCATGAAAGAAAATATGAAACGCAAACGTTCATTACAAGGAAAATTTTGCCAAGAAAGTTCGAAACTGCCGTTTGTCGTTCCCGGAAACGTGAAGCTTAAACTCCCTGTTGTTTATATATACCATCCACACCTATTTTCTATTGTTCTCAATTGGTTGTGGTAACTCACATTGAAAGTTGGGTGGTGGATTTTGATTATCTACAGGGGAGCAATTATATAGCGGGGCTGCATATTATAGCATGCACTCATTAAAAATCCAAGACACGGAATAGGTTTTGAATTAATATTAAAAATGTTAAACTCAAAACCTGGAACAGGGGTATATCAATGAACACAGACAAACTTTCACCCAACAAGAACTATTTACTCAGCAGGCGCTAGTAACTCCAGACGAAGGGCCTTCGCTCGAAACGTCAAAATTCTCCTTATATTTTTCAGGTATGGTTGAATGACTTGAATCCCTACCAACGAAAGCTTGTTAATAGTGAGCTTACGTTGCACCAAATCTGCGACACGGACGTGACATAAAAATCGTTGCCAATGTTTGGAATCCAGTTTTATTTTGCTTCACTTGTGTCTCTGACTTTATTTACCAACTGGAGGCCATAATTTTTATCCGTGTAGTGAAACTGTGAGAATAGTTCATGCAGTTTGTCTTCACGTCCGCGTCGTAGACTTGGTGCATCTAAAGTTCGCTAATGTTAGTATTTAGCCTATTCATTGCAAAACAGGCCCGTAGCTGAGGGGGGCCTGGGGGGGGGAAATTATGTCCCCCCCCCCTTATTCCACAGTTTTTGCCATGATATATACAGTACTACAGCGACCGTAGAAGATTAATACTTGAGGCTCATAGTCATACTCAATTTTTGTATGAAAATAGATTGCTTCTGGCCTAAAATAAATAACCTAGCTCATAGGCGTAGAGTATGGGGGGGGGGGCTTTGGGGCTCGAGCCCCTCCAGAAATCTTACACCACGGGCTTAGCCCCTGCAGACGTTTTGCAGAACTAAAGAGACCTTAAGATTGACGTTTACGGCAAACGTCAAACCGCTAGCGAAGTTTTTGATTTTACAACTCTATTATTGTAGCTTTTACACCAATTTTGAAATATGTTAAACTGATTAAACTTCTGCTCTTTAGCAATGATTTAAGAAAGCAAATTAACCACTAGTCATGCCATTCACCAATGAAAGCAGTAAATTAAGATTTGGCGTTTGAAGTTTACGGTTTGACGTATAAATTTCATGCTTTAACGACTACAAGCCCTCGTAGCAGTTCAAGCATGAAATTTATACGCCAAACGCCAAATCTTAATTTCCTGCTTTGGTGAATGGCATGACTAGTGGTTAAGTTGCTTTCTTAAATCATTGCTAAAGAGCACAAGTTTAATAAATTTAACATATTTCAAAACTGGTGTAAAAGCTATTATAATAGAGTTGTAAAATCAAAAACCTCGCCAGCGGTTTGACGTTTGCCGTAAACGTCAATCTTAAGGTCTCTAATAGCTGTTAATGTTGTTATTTTTTTTGGGGGGGGGGGGCTAAGTACCGAAATTTGGTATAAGAAATTGAGATAAAGTACCCGGAAAGCAATT